TGCTGAACCTGCTTAGAATACATAGTGTTGCTCTGATTCGTCTTTGTAGTAAATGCATCTTATATTAACAGTCACGTTTAGTCAGAAGTAAAAAAGTTCACTAACCCAGATGGGGCTTTAGTACTGGTCAAGGTGACGATAAAATACAAGGATGTCATTAAACTGCATATATAATAGAAAACAGGTTTACTTTGCATTTAAGTCACATTTAATACAAGACAAGTTGATCAGTAACAGTGAACTGATTCTATTTGGAACAAAGTATGGCACAGATTCCCAATATCTATGGATAGTGTGTAAATAACACATTTTTCACTCTTTGCAATGATTATCAATTCGCCAAAAATAGTATAACAGTCAAAAGGGAAGAGTGAAGGAAAACAGATTTAGGAGAAGAAATAAAAAAGCCTAAGAAGTGAAAATAAGTGACTTTTTACTTCTTTTATAAGAAACTTTATTTTTTTTAACTTTTTTTTAAAAATGCATTCTCTCCTCAGAACAAATGCCACTTTGAAAAAAAAAATTGCAGTAGCACACACTTGCACTCGAAGGAAAACATGCAAAACTGATGGCTGAAAAAAAATTCTGCATAAAAATCCAAGACTTCAGGCAAAAGTTTGCCCCCGTGTGCCTCTAGGGACCCCAGACCATAACAGCTTTCAGTGCAATGTCTCTTGCTTCCAATTGGTGGGGAAATAATATGGAAGAAGCTTGTCTTCTGACAGCTAGACCCTCTCCAGATGTTTGAAGCAAAAACAGTCTCAGCTATATTTTAAAATATTCTTGTTAAACTGTTGCAGGAAGTACAAACAGAATTCAATAAAATGTCAGAATCCAGTGAAGAAAAACTTTTGAGTTCTACCCTGTGCCATACACTTCTTAAAAAAAAATTAGACAGAAAAACAGATTTTATTAATACACCCTCTTTAAAGTTTTTATTTCTGAAAGCAGCTCTTTATGCAAATCAAAAGCAGTTCCTGAGTAACTGCAGTAAACAGTGTCTTTTAAATATTTTTGCGCCTCAGCTCTTCTGTTTTGGTTCTCCTTGTTTTTCTCCCTAGTTTTCAAGTTTAAACTCTGTTCTTTTTCAAAAAAATGTGCAAGTTCAGTTAGCATCATTTCCAGAAGTCCACAGCTTGCAGGTCTTCCTGCAACAACTATAAGATCTGCATATATGTGCTAGGTTGTACTCCTATACCTATTGCAGATTTTGCTCTCAAACCTGTACAGCATGCACTTTCACGTCTTCTTCAGCATACGCCGGGACTGCCACGTATGGAACTTGTTGTAGGCTGTCTGCAGCATCTCTTCTATATGACTTATCAACTGAAAGATTAAAGGGGAAAAAATTGTCCCAACTACTGGAAAATAGATCCTCTGCCCTCCCTTTGATCAAATACATACATGGTTGGATTTTTCTTTTTCTTCACTAAAAGAGTAGTCTCACTAAAATCAAGGAGGTATGCCAAATTAAGGGAGGGAGGACTTAATGGCTCTATTATAAAATATCTGTAGAGCTAGCAGTTAAGAGAGCTACCAAGGTGACAAGGCTACAGGGAAGTGATACTTGATTATGCAAACCCTCTGTTCCAATATTTAGTCTGGGACAGCTTCAGAACTGTTTCCCACCAAATCAGATTTGAAGTAGCCAAAGTTCTACTTCATGGTGGAAGTAGAGAATGAAACATGACTTCCCATTTCTGTTGTCTAGTTTGGGTAATTTCAAATCATAGTTCTAGACAGATTCTGGTTATTGTTCAGCAAGGTTTATAGGGAGAGACATGGACAGAAAAGACCTACTTCATTGTGTAGATAATTCTCCCCTCATAATTTCCTAGTTAACAAAAAAACTTAGTCCCCTAGGTAAGAGGAAACAAACCCACCATCCTGTGATAAACATGATGCAAATTATTAATATGCACCCATGTAATTAAACTTAAAGGGTCTTTCCTCTTACATTTGTGCTTAAATACTGTCTCCGAATCTTTTCTTGGAATGGGCAAAGCTTTGTAACCTGAAATCTTTCCAAGTTACTCCTCATTTTCACAACCTGAAAAAGAGACAGAAACCAATATACTAATCATTTGCAGAAAAGGTTTATTTCTTTTAAAAAAATAGTTCCCCAGCAAAACACTTTAACTGATTTGGGGGGGGCTATTTTAAATATGTATAGCTCAAGGAAGAGGAGATACTAAACTATCAGTCTCTAGCTTAATTCTTGAGTGCCTGTTATCATCATGGTGAGTGTAACATGCCTGAAAATGTAGGGGTGACAATGTGATTAGTAAGTGTTAGTAACACTCTAGACTCAGTATTTATAAAATACATCTTTCTTGCTTCAAGCAAAGACTGTACTATAGATTTTCAGGCCACATATTGCAGCAGAAAACAAAGATGTCTGAATGCAAATTTTAAGCTTCAGGATCCACGTAAGGTAAAGAGGAGAGCAGCAACATAAAAATGGTTTAAAAAAAAAAAAAACACATCACATTTCTGGTACCAAACAGACAGTATCTCTGCCTTAGGGCACCTTTGTTCTAAAGAGCAGTATGTGTTTTGAAGCTATGACTAGAGTGATTTTACAATGGATAGAAGGATGATGAGGAAAAATTTCTTGCAACCATCATTGCACAGGTTATGTCTTAGAGTCGGGGAACGGAGGCTTTGGTTTGTTTGTAAACTGGGAATGAGAAATGTGCAATTGGAATATAGCTGACCGTTTTATCTGAAAGTAGCTTACAGCAACTGCTATTGAAGGGCACTAACAGATATGCAGGCATAATGATGTTTTTAGCCAAGACCACCTATAGAACTGCTGCAAGTTGTAGTGTAGTTGTGTAGTTTTGTGACTTTTAATCCTAAGGAAAAAATAAGTGCTGCGTTTATTTAAAACATACATGTTAGAAGAACTTTCATTACGTTGAAGTATGGAACTAAAGGATAACCTAGCTACATCATAACCAGGGCTATCCTAGGAAGTTCCACCTTACCTTTTCTTCTAGGAATGGCGTGTTAACAGGAAAGCAGGACCAGAAGTGTCGTAGCAGTTCCCCTACTGCCACATACAAGTGTTTTAGTTCAGACTGAACATCATTTGGCACCATCTCTGCAACAAGAAAAAGGCTCTGTCACATCACTCAAAACTACCATATCTAAAATGAGAAAGTAAGGCTAATGGGAGAGTTTAGCAATATACAGCTATCTAATACAATTGCAGAAAAGCTGGCTGGAAGGGAACTCTAGAGGTCATCTAGTTCGGCCTTGCGTTTAAAGTTGGACTATCAGCAGCGTTAGATCAGGTTAGCCACCGATTTATGGCTATATACTTGGAAGCTTGTGCATTATAAAGGCAGATCTATGCCAGGCAAAGAACGGACACCATGCTTGTTCTGTGATTAGAAGCAGCATATTTGTATTGTTCTGTGCCAAAGCTAACAGCGTGCCAGTGCTGCTTTTGGGACCACTGTTTTGTTGTCTTGCTTAGCTAAGAGGCTAATGGAAAAGGAACTCTGCTAGCATGAATGGGACACCAGGGAAAGGAGTGATTGGATGAAAACCTAAGAAGAATGGGTTGTCTGTTTTGCCTTTGCAGTCCACAAGAAAGTTGTTCTTTTTTCACATAAAACTGTGGACCTTAAATGCAAGCTGCAGAAAAAACTAGTTCTAAACAATTACCTAGATCTTGCCTCCCTAGAGCTCTCCCAAAGCACAGCTTTATTTTCTAAAAATCAGAAAGAATCAGAAAACAGAAATCCTGGATTGGAAACACTGGCAAAGTTCATAGGGTTCAATTCTCGCACATTTAGCGCAGGGTTCTGAGTTTTTAATCTGTCATTGGTGTAGGCTAGGAAGAGGTAAAGTCTCAAAGAACACGCAAGCAGGTAAAGATATGAAAAGCACAACTGATGCTATTACAGAAGTGGTAGGGAACAGCAGGCTAGCTGCTACCAAGAAATAAAAAACAAAGCCTGCCAGTTGCATGAAAAGAAGCTTTTTCTTTAGCTGAACAAGCAAAACCCATCATCTCTAAGAGAATTTAGCATTAGCTGCACCCTTCATCACTTGCTCTGTAAAGTTCTTTCACTTGCCTCAGCACTGGTAGCCAATACCACCACCCTCAAAGCAAGGCTGGATTGTTGCTTTTCTTTTGTTGCCATAACCCACTCTTACTCCAGACACATGTTTCGATAAATTCATTTATCACTATAACATGTTCTAAGAGGGAGATAAAACAGCAAGACAGGTACTGCTGTATCATGCAAGAATATATTATTCAAGTTTTATAAATGCTAAATCCTTACGGTTTATGGCTTGCTGTGTTCCACCCTGCATAAGTGCTCCTCCAGGTGACAGGACTGCAATAGTGCTAGTAGCATCAGCACTTGAAAGAACCTGAAGGGAGAGAGGGAAGAACTTTCCTAACAGCTCTTTTTAAAATAGGTCATGTTTGAACTCTGGCAAAGATACAGTTGGACAGACACAACAAAAGCTCTGATTAAGAAAGAGTTTGCAGAAGCTCTTCCCTACAGAACAGCAAAATTAGGCATGGTTCCTCTAAGTGCTTGCTCGTGTTTTTGGTGAAAGCTAATTATGGACAAACAACCCTTTCTATAACATGTGAACTAGCTGTGCAGTTGTTCTGAAGTAAGACAAAGATGATCGTGACATTACAGAGATGCAGCATGCTCAGAGTTGCGACTCCTTTATTGAGGGCCAAACCTAGATTTACTAAGAGGAGAAATTCAGAAACCGGTGGGGCAGATGGGCTACATGGTTTACTGCCATCAAGTTGCCAGGACAGAGCTCCTCTGCAACACAGAGCGTAGGAAGATCTACATCCTACCTTATCACATTTCTGGGCAAAAGACCCATTCAGTTACAAAGCTGCTTATCATAACCTCCTAAGTTTCAGAGGGTGGGCCCAGTATTGGCCTCTACTTCCTGCTGCGTGACTTTCCTGCTTTACAGCTTTGGTAACTTCATATTCTTCCATTTCCTTACAAGAACATGGCAACAGTAGGGTGTAACTCTGAATAGCAGCAGTGTATCAAATATTTTTTGGTAGTTTAGATTTCTTAAATACAATAGCTGAAAACGTATCAGCTAGAGTTGTAAAATGGATTTAATAGAAGTTATTTTCAATAATTTTGTGTTAAGTTTCATCTGAAAAATTACATTTCCAGCATCCAAGAGACAATTATATAGAAAGCAAGATGCTAACATCAAAAAGAACTTTTTCAGTATTCTTCCATACCTGAGTTAGTTTGGGTACATATGCTTCCATTTCTTGCCTAATACTATGAAAAGAATTAATTATATCCTGACTGGTTGCATATTGCTGTGATTGAATTGGAGTTGGACCATGATAATACCTGTGAGATGAGGAGAGAAAATATAGTAATAAGTGTTGGTAAAATGAAGACCAAACTAGGTGGACAGCTGTTCAAATTTTTCTCATTTTAGATGCTTTGCAATTTTTGACGCTATCATTTAAACTTTATTTACTGACATAAAAAGAAAATAGCCTGCCAAATGGGAAGAGGCTGGGTTACAGATGGTATGGCAGCAAAATAAGAAAAGTCCTTGTTTCTTATTGTGGAATCTACAAGCCCCATCTCGCTATGAAAAAGCTATCTATCTGTGCCGCCTATTTTGCTCAGCTCGGGGAATATCATTAGAATAGCGAAATTCAGGCTATTTTTTTGGTACCTCGGCTGAATGTAGTTACATGCACATTTGGAAGTGCCCTCTTTCCTGTAGTATCGCTCCTATTCTTTCCTAAAGTTACATCTTTGGCTCTCAAATTCAAAAGTCTAAAACAAGACTGCAGCTACCAGAAAAATACTAGATCAATACAGTCTCAGATGTCCCAGTTGCACTCTTTTGCCCAGGAGTGGATTTTGCTTAGGACTGTATATTTCCATATGCAGGCACGTATATTTTACGCTGAGTTGCAACAAAGCGATGACACATATGAAATGTCAAAGCCCTTTGATTAGGTTTATAAAAACTTCTAATTTGGTGAAAAACAAGATAAAAATACAAATTTAAATAGCACTTATCTGCAAGCTGGTTTAAGCAGGAGTTTGTATTATGTTTCTAAACTTAACCTAAACACACTTGAGTGTGGCACAGTGCAGACTGAATCAGCTGATTCTGTGCTGGTTGTGAAGCTAGACTGCACATGCTGAAATATCCGTGCATATTTTATTAACTTACCGATCAGATTTCTTTAAGTTTAGTGCAATAGTTTTAATGCTATTATTCTTTGCTAAATCTTCATATTCAATGGACTCCTGCAGTTTCACCTGAAATAAGTCAAAGTAGTAAAGAAATAAGCACATTACTAATGAGGACACAATTTGAGTGCTTTTTTCTGAGTCTGAATAAACAGGTTACTAAAACCTTAAAGAAAATGAAAATAGTTGGAATTGCTTGTATCCCACTGCTACTCCTGAAGTAGCAGTGACCATTACTGCTTAAAGAGTGCAATTTGGAAGCCTTGGCGCTACCACTTTTCCTGTAGATTCTGGCCAAAACTGACAGTCCCTACCACTTCCAAGTAGTGTTCGAATGTATGCATAGATCATTCTGTGAGCTCCCTATTTATGTACATCTGTCACCCGATTAACAGATGCATTAATGAATTAATGGCTGGAGTACAAGAGCATAAGAGTAAAACTACAATAGTTACCCAAGCTATTAAGTGACAGTACAGCTGGAGCGTTAGTGGTGAGTGATGACGGAACAGTGATGACAGACTGTATACAATGAGAAAACTACCTCTGAAGTCACTACTTTCTCATTCCTCCTTTTGTCAGATAAGATTCCAGTCCTGCTATATTGTTTGGTCCCCAATAAAAATTGCAGCTTTCAGGAAAGTCGGAGCCGCTGACTCTCTCAACATTCAACACCACGCACGTTCTAGAACCCTTTCTCACAACACACAGAGCTTTTCAGTCACCTTGATGTTTTCTCTTTTAGCTGTCAACTACAGCAAGGAGTATTCAATTCAGTTTCGTAGCAATTACATTATTTTCTTACCCGGTCTGAGCTCTTGTGGTTAGTCTAAAACAGCCTTGTCCTATTTCAGTGCACCAGGAATCGTTACACTTTCAGTTTAACCTTATTTCAGCTTCTGATCTTAAGATGAAGGCTGATATGTGCCAGTTTAATCATCCCTTCTACAAACGATTCATTCCATAGATTAATATTGGCTCTACTGAAGAGATCAACAGCTCCTTCAAAGTATAACTCATTTGTATTTACTAACAGATGTATTCTAGACACAAAGCTGCTTCATTGGCTCTCAGGCGGTTCTTTATACTTCTAGAAAAAGATAACTGTCACTTTAGATGTTTCATAAATCAAGTAATCTATCTTCAGCAATCCCTTAAGACAGAGCTTCTCAATCCTTTCAACTAGAATTGCATCAGCTAACTGTGTACCTTTTTCATTGGTGGTTGAAAGAAATCCGAATCCCTGGAGTTTCCATCCGTACTGCTGGTCTCACTGTAATGGTCATTTTGTGCTTCTCTTAAAATAGAGAAACAGCTTTAAGGAGAATTCACCTCACAGGAAACTTAAGAGACAAGCTAGAGACAAAGTGAAATATGCATGCTCACATGTTATATATCAATTTTTTTCCCCTTACGTCTTCATTTGCAGAAACAGACCTAGACAGAAGGAACCAATACCTGTTTATCAAGGGGGGAAATTTAGGAGCAGGGAAGGGTGCTTCTTCCTCTCAGCAGAAATACCAGCAGGCCCACAATGCAAGTGGAATGCAGCAAAGTCACGCCTAAATTACAAACACTTTGCATACACACTTAGTTCAACCAACTATTAATAGAGAAACTCAGAGCCCTGAGGCGGCTATTAGAATAACAGCTACTGTATTCTCTCACTCTAAACTGGGGAAGAGAAACGCATCCTACCCAGAGATTATTTAAGGTTCATGCAAGACAGAAGTACAACATGAGGGAGCACAGCTACACAGAGAAAAGTATTTCAATAAAGACCTCTCGTGGGTAAAGGTCTGCAGGATTTGGGTACAGTAATCATCGTTTGGTGGATGTCCATAAGCTAGTTGTACAACAGACCTCAAGCCAAACCTCTTTTGTTTCCTCTTTTAGGAAGTTTCACTTGTGGAGTTACTGTAAATATATGTAACCAGCTGATATGTTTTGGGCAGGGGCAGGATCCTGCATTAGATGACCCTTTCTTCTGATCCACCTGTGTCACACTGGTGTTCTTCTGCTTCCCCATTTACCTATTTCCATGCACCCAGCCACAGGGAGCCTCAGCCGACCTATTCCAAGGCGGCAGGCAACAAACTCCCTGCACCAGACCCCTGTCTCTGCAGGGCAAACACAATACCACCTCCTCTGCACAAAGGCCCTTGCGCAGCCTTCACCTGGGCTACAGAACTAAGGCAGAAACAGCCTTTCCTTTTTTACATACAATTTGCATGATTAAAAACAGCATTTGTCATCTCATACAGCTCTGGAGAGACTGTATAGAAACAGAACCTACAGGTATTTTCACTCGTAGATCAATACTCCTATTAATTCACATTAAAATAAAAAGCTGGATGAGTAATTACAGATCTATCTTCCTTTTGGAAATTCCTTAAAATTAGTTACAAAAAAAGCTTTTAAACTACACTAAAACTTACTGTTTTCTGAGGCCAGCTGCAAGGACCATGGCACTATGATGATTAAAGCGTTTTATAATGGCAGCATTGCTGCTTTCTCTAGCAGATTTTGAGGCATTTGATGTAGAGGCCACAGAAGCAACACCATAGCCCTATAAGGAAAAGATCATTAATTACCACCTACCCAAAAAAACAAAAGGACCATTTTCTGTCTTCCGTTGAGTCAGGAAACCTGCATGCCTCAGTCTGAACACTATTGAATGATGTTGTAACATCATCTAAAGTAGTATCTTCCTAATCTTTCCCCCCCCTCCCCCATCATCTATGTGATTTGGAAAAAAAAACTCCATTTTTTTTTTCTGCTATCACTTGACAGTTTAGAGGTATTTGAGAGGAGAGAAAAAAAAAATCTTGAAGGCTGAGTTGTACAAGGTCATGATCTGTTAAGTAATTTTTAAGCTTTTTGTTTTGTTTTGTTTTTTTAAAAAAGAGTCACTGACATTGTGTTGAACAGGCAGGCAGTGATAGCAAATAAGAGCTAGCAATTGCTTTACTGACGACTATAACATCTTGTGGAACACCAGCAGCCCGCAGGCGAAACGACGCCTGTCAGGAGGATGCGCTAGCACTGAGAATCTAAAAAACCCTCCAGCCTTAATGCTGGCAAGGTTTCCCAGTTAGCAGGTGGCTGCAGCAACTCACATTTCCCCTATGCTCAGTTCCATACTTGCAATTCACCAGGCTCAAAAGCAAACTAGGGCTGTTTGCACAGCACTTCAGGCATACCTATCCTCAACTTCTAGTTCAGAGTTTTTTCCTTTCCCCCCCCCCTCCCCCCCCCCCCCAAAAAAAAAAAAAAAAAAAGGTAGAAATGCAGCATTGTTATTAATTACAACTCCTGAAGTTTCAGCTAAGTCAACTATGGAAAAGTATGTGTGAAAGTTATTTCTCATTTTGGTACACCACTTAGGACCATTGTTTTCTTTTGTACTTGGAGGTAGATAATAATTCATTATGCATATTTTTGGCGCAAACACTGATATTTAAAGGTAAGGTAGGAAACTATATATAGTGTCCTTAATTAAGCTGAATCAAACACTAGCGATGCCCAAAGTGAGAACAAATGCAAAAACTTTTCCTGTCTTGTGCTACTCTTCTGTACGTGACGACCAGAGTTTCTAAAAGGTACGAGGAAATCAGAGAATCTGCTTTAGATTAAAACAAAAAAAAAGTGCCACAGGAATAAAATAACTCCTTTTAAAAAGTGGGAAGTCATGCTTTATACCTGGCATGCTAAGGCAGGCACCCGAAGCAATACAGTTTCGCTGGGCACAGGCTCCAATTCTTTACATGTGTACAGCTAAGTAAATTATGAGTACTCTGTAAAATTGCAGCAGCATACTATGTGATGTGTTTTAGAAGTATTTGTGGTACTTAACCTGAAGAAGGACCCGCTTCCTCCATAAATGAGACTAAAAGTTGTGGGGTTTTTTGTTTTTGTTTTTTTTTTTACACTAAGTACTTACTTCATCTAATGTTTTATCTTCCAAAGCTGTTAAGTCTATCAGAGGGTTTTTTACTCCTTGAGACACCATTGTTTTTAACCCTGGATGAAAGGATCAGAAAGAAAAGACCATGAAAAACTATATCTAATCTCATAATTATTTATATTTGCTTATTAGGTTACATTTAACCTTTGAAAGGAGAAGCCAATGGTTCTGCAGATGTCCAAGTATCACTATGACTAGTAACTTTCAACCCTTTTCAAAGTCTTCTTTTAAAATAAGAAGCTTGTAAAAGATCTTACTAACTGCAGAAATTTGCATCAGCTTCTACAAATCTATGAATACCATTCTGGGAAAAAAAATTAAAGATGCATATTTTATACTCAAGTACAGCATTAGTTACAGTGGAAACTGGGCGACCTTAACTTTGTGTTTCTTGCAATTTTGCCACTCTTATACTGTCTCGTGTTGAACGGTTATGTTCTCTGTCTCTCTGTTTACATCTGATGATATTTTTGCTTGTGAGGTATTGTGGGATTCCTAACATAATACTTTTGTTAGGCAGAACACACATGTATTAAAGAAGGGTGTTAAGTGATGTTCTCTCTCCACATTTCTGTGGAATCACAAACCTACCTCAAAAAAAAGTTTAATGTGAAATCTTAAAATATCATCTGACTTAAAGTCTTTCTAATTAAAGCTGACAGATACAGGGATGGTGACTCCTTCTGCAAATAGGATCCACATTTAAATAGGAACCACATTTGTCTATCACTAAAAACTGCTCACGTACAAAAGCTACACCTGCAGTAAGTCTTAGACATACCACAAAACAAAGGCTTGTGTTAACAAAATTATTCCCTAGTAACAGACTGTGGAGCATAATCAAAGTAGCACAGTAAGACAGCAGAGGAATTTATCACAGAGTTACTACTGCATGAGTTGTAAAAAGGGTTTTTCTAGTGCTAGCACTTTCCAAAGCCTAATTTGTTTCAAGGAACGTATCAGATGTAGTAATTCTTCTCTATCAGATGCACTAAGAATGGCAAAGCCATAGCCAACTTTCAGTGACTAGTTGTAGCCTTCTCTTTGCAGTTCAACAAATAAGATGGTCAATAAACAGACATAAGAAAACTTTGACTACAGCTTTATTAGGTTTACTGGATAAACTTCTTGATAGTTGGTTATTATGATCTTAGCTATATTATAGAGCACTACTGCAGAAACAGAATCAAAACGTTTACCTTTTTCATCCATTTTGGCACACTCTGCAAAGAGGTCTTTTGAGCCTGTATTGAGCCTGTCCCGATGGAAGTAATGAGACTGAAAGAATCGTGTCCAGAATTCCCTCTCTGTCATGTTATGTGGAACGTTTTCTGCATATTTCATTTTTACTGCAAACAAACAACTGATTGTTACAAAGTGTCCTCCAAATCTTCATACTATATTTTATGTTAGTCAGTCCTTGCTTTCTGTCTAACGCTACCTTCGTTTGTGCCAATTAAGAGAATATAACGGGAATGCAGTAGTTTAGCACCAGCAAACAGGTGCTGCTTTATCCTCTGCAGTCTCCCAATGCTTTGAAAAAAAACCCGCGCGTTACAGAAATCCGAATACTCTATTTTATTGGCACAAAAAACGTTATTCGCCAGCGTTTTAGTTTTTTAGGACTAAAACTAAAGCTGACTTGTTGAATGAACAACAGACGATTAGGCACAAGATTATATTTTCAAGATAGACCTAATCTCTTCAATGTGGGGCCAAAATGAATCAATGTCAGCAATGCAGCGCAGGGGAGGGATGGAAGTGAGCTTTTCATCCTAAAGGTGATTTCTTGAAAAAGTAACAAATAATTAAAACCTTTAATACAGGAGGATCATGGGAGCCAAATATCTGCTCATGATTTTAAATATTACGGTTAAAAATTGAACAAGGTTAGAACAAGTTTTTATTTCACAAGTGTGTCTTAACACATACTTCTTCCCATCTCAAGAAACAGCCCTTTATACTTCCAAGCTCAAACTAACCCCCTAGCCTTCCTGCAATAAGACAGTAATAAACAAATCTTAAATGAATGTATTTCTTATGCAAAGCACTATTCTTACCTGCAGGATATGTTCGAAATATGGATTCAATGATATCCGAAGTTAAATTGTACCTCAGACCATTGCAGCCATCTGTTTGAGGCCGTACATCAGCCTAAGAAAAAGCATACAGGGAGAGAAAACAGTTAAGTCTGAACTCCTTCTGTGAATAAAGAAGGAAAGGCCAGGCCTCTTGCAATCAAATGCTGCTACAGATAAAATAATCATCTTCCTCCAATAATCCACAGTATATTTGATGATAAGCAAGTATTTTTAGGAGGAGAAATAAAAGAGCACGCATTAATTACACTAGTATTTTTGTCACTTAAAGGATGATTCAGAAAGTAGACTGTGTCAGTGAAATAGTTTTTAAAGACAAGATGGAAAGTAAAGACCAATCAGTCAAAAGAAGATATGCTGAGTTTAATATATCCTTGTTTTAAAGTAAAAGTAGGCATGTTTACTGTACATGCCTAATCTTCTGTTGCTCATTCAACAAGTCAGCTACTGAATAATCATTGATGACAATGACGCAACAAAAGGGACTATGGCTCTTATACCTCATTTCTTTATGTACTGAGACTATCTCAGTGTAACTGAAACGTAACATTGAATTTAAAAATTGAGGGTAAGCCTTAGTCAGAACTTGCAAGATAGAATTCAGTGATCTTTGGGAAGTTCTGGAGCAAGTACTCAGTCCAGTCCTCGATAACAGGAGGAAGTAGGTGATTGCATGTGCTGCCTTTTCTTTTCTTTTCTCTTGTACGCCTACCTTTTTTGTAGTTTTTGTACCACATTATTTCTACAGAAGCACTCATTCCCAGCATAGCCATATAGATATTTTAACTTGAACTGGGACACAAGTTTGTTTGTTTGTGTATTCTCCATTTGTGTAAAAACAAACACAACTGGTTATTTTAACAAAATTTCAGTTATGTTGGTTTTTTTTGTTAATGTCTAATTAGAGAAGTAGTAATTGTATATACTTGTACATTTGCAAGAACAGTGGGAGAAGAGAAATGAGAGGAATTAAGTTAATTTGATAACCTATTCAAGTATTTCTAGACAGAAAAGCAAATGTTCCTGCAGCAGTTAAGTTAGACAAAAAAACCCACCCACTTCCTCTTCCCTTCCCCTTGATGTAGTCATGCAGTCATTGCAGAGGGGGAAATGGACTCCAGCTAGACTGTCTAAGCTCTATGAGTTCTGTTGCAGCAGTAAAAACATTTATCTATGGGAAGAATCTGAAGATTGTACCTAGATTACATCTAGATTGCATTTAGACTAATGAGGCATGGTTTCTACAAACGGGTGACATAACAGACCTGGGGAAAGAGGGAGCTAAAACAAGCTTTCAGATACACAATTGTTTCTCAAGTGGCTGAAAGCATGTACTGTTTAAAAAAACTGGGAAGGAATAAAATCTTTTGCACAGAAAGCCTTTGCAGCTTCCTTTATGCATACGGATGCTGCAACAGATACCCTTTTAGTTTACTGCATTAACAGTGGGTTGTCTAGTTGTAAGTTCACCATCACTCTTGTTCTACGGAAGGCAGGGCAGCAGTATCTGCCCATTGCCACTTTAAAGTAAGTTCAAATTTAGCATCTTAAATTGTCAGGATTTTGAGGTTGCAGTGTCAGATAAAACCTTTACTTTGTTTCCTCCCCTACCTTTGCAATAGTTTAACAGATGAAAATATGTTAGTTAACAAACCAGGAAGGAAGAACCTTGAAGTATACAGGAATAAAGTAAACAAATAATAGAACTCTCACTTTCCCCAAGTTGTTTGCTTCAGAATCCTTTAAATTAGAGGCTCAACATACCAGAAATGCTGCAGAGATGCCCACATCCTGCTTAGTAGGTGCTGCAGAATTATCCACTGCATTCAGGCTCAAACGGTTGGCCCAGAATTCTTCAGCACTGATTACTTGGCTCACAACAAGGTCTTTATAGAGCTGAAACAGAACAGGATCTTCCTGCAGCATTCTGGTAAAAGAACGTATTGAATATAATTGATATGCTGCAGAATAAATCACTAGGATTTCCATAGCCTACATGGCTTCATAAAAGGAACAGAAACTAATTTTCTTTCAAAACGCTGTGCATTTCTTAAACTGTGTAAACGACCAACCTCAATAGCAATGTTTGTCTCAAAAGAACAAAGAAAGGACTACGAAAATCTTTGAGGAATAGCATTAAATGCTAGAAGATAGTAACTCTTAGGACAAAGTTAACATGGGATTAATGTCTTGCCCTTAAATATTCTGTGATGCTCTTGTGTCTTTGCGTGCTGAAGACTGAGTCTTCTGAACTGCAAAAGCACAATCAATTTTCTTGACCTTCAATAACAAAAGTCTAATAGTGGTGTTGGGGGCGGGGGGGGGGAGCGGATTTCAGTGCTATCCAGTTCTTTAGATCTTAAAATTCAGTAGTTACAGGATTCCGTTCTAGTACAAGAGGATAGACTGGGATGTGCATGCATTAAGACACCTTGAAACACACATCACCTTGAGTTATTTGTTCATTTACATTCCTCTTAGTGACAGTAGCATAACTTAACTATCGCATGCAGCACAACTGCCGCAGATGCATTCAATTTCAATGCTTCCACCAGGGAATAATGTCTATGAAAGTTACCATCCAAGTAACAACTATTACCTTTACAGGTTTCCAAAAACCATATGCACTTGAAACTTTCCTTAGTTCAAGTTGCTTTTCATACAGCTTTCATATGCACAATTTGATATCTACGAGTTTTTTTCTGGGAAAGGTGATCGTACGGGGAGAATCAGCCAACAACCTCAACAATATTAAGCTTGTAACTCAGGGACTTGACTGTTTACCAACAAAAAAACAGGAGTCTTATGAATACACAGAACATAGTAAATGGTCTAGGAAGAACACTGATAAATTGCAATTTGGTCTGAATGAAAGTCTGTAACTGCTCTGAGGAAGATTTTTGGATGAGGTGGAAGTGTTAACTTTCTGTGGCAGGACATCTCTAGTGTGTTTTCCCACCAAGGTTGTTTTTCCTATTTTGTTTTTCTTGCTGATACAAATACATGTTAGTAGCAATTTCAACAAATTAGTGCAGCAGGAAGCAGTCTGTTAATTTGAAATAAGTCACTAAAACTTGGTATGCGCCTCACTCCCATGTATCAATAAATGGAGGAGGTGCCACAGAGACTCTGGATGTAGTACCCTGCACAACAGATTTTAAAAGTGACTTTTTGGCCTCATCTGTTGCAAATTAAGCCAATGAAAACTACATCACTGAACTCGAACTTCTAACAGTCAAAAGAACAGGCTGTGACTGTGTGTAGAGATGTTGGCTTCTCTAAAACTAGAAAACGTCTTAATGTCACATGGCATAATACTTTAAAACTCCATTTAAGGGTACAAAGATTCAGAGGTAAGACTGCCCATGTATTCAGTACTGATACTGTTAGAAATAAGACAGGTAGCATAAAGAAGCTAGTACGGTAACAGTGCCAAAGCACTGCACTGCTGTAGACCCCAGTGGTCGCTGTAGTACTGGAATCAATTAGACTTGGATGTGTCAGAGCTCCAGCACAAGGACTCTTGCAGTAACGTGGTTCCCTTCTCCTGGGAAATCCTCTCTTAAAAGAAAAAACACCTACACTCATCTGCCCAGTGAAGCAATACTCCTATCTTTTGAAAAAGTTGGCTTTAACATTTCTAAGTTCAAAGCTAGAATGTTCTTTGAAAATACTGCCTGGGAGTTAACCAGATACAGGATTCACAGGAGATACCAGAGTGAAGTGAAACTCATCTGGGGAGACAGAATTATTCTGTGGCCACAAGGACTGGTTTCAAAGAAACATTTTAAGGCAAGAGAAGCGTACCTTCAAAGCCCTTTAGGGGAAAAGGACTTAGGCCCTGAGCATCATCTCCAAAAGCTTCTCAAAATAAATATCCTGCATGCCACTACTGCATCTCAAGTGAGATGAATGAAAAAGGCTCGCAATTTAGTAGAGGATATCAAATATCATGAAAGAAGATTCCAGTATGGCAGTAGGGGGAGGGGGGAAAAGTCACAAATCAAGGTAGGTGAGAATTTCCGGAAAAATATATCTTTCGGGCAGCTTTTCTAACAGCATCCATAGGTACTTATGAAGACTAAAGAGGCAGACTGCCAGTTGGGTGCTTTTATCTCACAGCCACGGGTAACAAAGGCTGAGCGGCAGCTGGGCTGGCTGCCTCGACACCTGCAGAACGTGTTCCTGAGAACGCACGTACAGTCTGAACACATATCGCAGTTGTGCGAGGCCTCAGGAACTCCACTGAAAGTGGAGCTCTTTACTGTGGAAGCGTGCAACATCACTAACAACGTTGCAATACAACACAAGAACTGTTAACAGAAATTCAGTGTAGTTAGATAAGAAATTAGAAATATGTATTTTTGAAGGCTTCCCCTTTACCTGTTCTTCTCCTCAAGTTCTTTATTAGCTTTCCTTTTGAATTTGGGCAACAGTTGTTGAAGAAGATCCTTTACCGCATCTCGCTCCTTCACTGCTGTGCTTTCATTGGAGAAGTGAAAGTTGGTTGTGTCCCCTGCATGCAATACTAGCTGAAGTTGAATTTTAGCTTTACCTTCAGGACTGATTTTCTGGCCTAGATTACACAGAGATATTAATTAGCAACAGACAGTAAGCTTATGTAACAAACTGTCTCCCCTAGAGCATTTGCTTATAAGCAGTTATCCACATCATCCAATTAAATATCATTACCCTGCGTGTGAATTCCAGCCGTGAAAGTGGCACATACAGCCTTCTCCTTAGATTAGTTTGAAAGCTGCACCTCGTTCTCTCTAAAATGCAGGACACTGGCCTCAGCAGCATATTACTCACTATCCTTCAGCCGCAGCTCAGGAGCCCTGGTCCATCTTTCCATTCCCCACCTGCTCTATTAGAAAGCCACAGCAAATGAGACTGTCATCACCTAGATACTTTAGTGTGGCACAAGTTCAGGCTGCTGCTGAAAGGTGACAACCTCATTCTCCCTTTCCGCTTCTTCCTGACCCCTTTCTTGCCCTGGTGTTAGTGTCTGTGCAGTAAGCAAAGCAAGGAACTGATCTACTCAAAAGTAACCCTCTCCGCCCTTTTTTTTTTTTTTCCCCCCCAAGCTGGATCAGTTCCTGCAAAAGAGGAGTGGTAAGAAAGCAGATGCAGGTGGGTTAACAGCATGTCTGTTGACAGCAAAAGGTGTGCTGGTTTCAAGCGTCATGGTAGGCACAGTCACCCACTAGCCGTCCCAAAGGGGATCACCAGTGCCTCCAAGGTGCCATTACACGCTAACAACTCATGAAAAAAACCATAAAAACCGTAACTCCTGCTTCCTTTCTCATAACCGGAGGGAAGAGAGGCTAAAACCACTATGTTGGAGTGTTTTACTGTATTGACTTCAGCAAAGTACTGCAAATGGCACCAACATAACTCAGACTCTGGCTCCCTTCTCCAACATGACAAGGAGACAGGAAGCAAACGTCACCACTAAATCATGGTGTCCATTACAAATTTATAACTACCCCATTTTTTTCAATTCTGTATGACAAAAGAGGGCATCTAAATTGAAAACTTCTGTCTTCAAGTGTTTAACATATAAACTGCTTACGCTTGAGGCTAAACCGCTAGATAAAACCTCTACGAAATTGGATAAAATAGGTGAACAGACTTTTTAAACTCCTCATCACGTTCAAGAAAATAGCATTTTAGTTTTGAATCTTCACACACCCTTTTGGTCATGCTGCAGTACTTGTACACGACTTTAGACAGCAATATGCACTGAACCTTCTCCAAGAGGGCGATGCATACAACTCTCCCCCCCCCCCCCCCCCCTCGCCACTTTTCTCTAC